GTAGCATTCGGTTGGATTGTGCTTGGGGATGGAAGGGATGAGTAGTAGAGTTGGGAAGACTTGGATATTGCTGAATACCTTGCAATCCGTCTAATCAAGTTTATACCTCTACAGTGGTCCCCATGAATCTTGTCCTCAATCCCTGAAAGACCATCCAAGCGTCCCATTTCCTCCGCTTGATATCATCCAGTTCGCAGACCCGGCCACAATCTCCGCAACGCGGCGGAACACTCCATGGAAAGAACCCGTTCCAGCACAGGAAGATGTGTCCTGGATCCGAGCAAGCATCTGAGCTCGTGCTCCCTTGGCTCCCGTCCTCGTCTTCACTGCCGCTGCAGGACTCCCAATCTGAATCCGCGGATGCAGAGCCTTGCACCGGCCGGGCGTTTTCAGAGACACCCTCCGTGCCCAAAACATCCTTCATGGACAGCCCAACCCTCTCCACAGCTAAGCACCACTGGAACCAAATCCGTGGAGAACTCAACGCAAAGTCCGACGGACTGTGTCCGTACTCATCTCGCAGATTTGGATCACACCCCGCCTGCAGCAGGATCCCGAGCCTTGTCTCCAACGAATCCCCCTCCAACTGGCCATGCACGGATTCAGGTCCTGAAAACGCCATGGCCAGATGCAGCGCGCCCTCGCCGAGGTTGGACGTTGCGTGCGGGTTCGCGCCCCATTGGAGAAGTTCCCGGAGGACCACGACCCCGTGCCATCGTGGAATGCAGGCGTTGTACAGGAGTGGGGTGAGGCCGTCGGCGTTCTCGTGCTCGATGTCACAGCCACTGCAGACTAGCAAGTTGATCAAGGCGGCAATCTCGTCCTCATTGATGAGCTCGGAGCCGGGGAGGGTATGGCTGACGGTGAAGTGGAGGGGGCTGCCGCCGAGAGCGACGGAGTTGATGTCGCAGCCGGCGGAGATGAATAGACGGAGAATACGGTGGAGGGTCGATTTGTGAATGGTATAGTTGGTTGCTCGGTACCAAAAGGCATTTCGTACGTCGTAGATCGCGTTTGCTCCATCACTAGTCGTGTCAGATGCTGCTCCGGTTCAGGGTTCCAGAATGGGCCTACCTGCGGCAATGGTTGGGATCCGCTCCTTCATTGAGAAGGAGGTCACATATCTCGAACCGGAGGAGTCGTGCAGCGTACTAACCTGTCAGATTAAGTGACGCTGGAGATTAGAAAACCTACAGATAAGAGACTCTCATTTTCCGTATTTCGCACGGTGGGCGAAAAATCCCTGCTCTTCAGAAGTAGCCGCAATGAATGTATGTCATTGGTCTCGACACATGCAAATACAGGTGATGTTGTCTCGACGATCGCGTAAGACGAGACATGCCGGGTGATTGTAGGCTTGCTCAATCCGTCATGAAGCCTCGAAAGTGAAACTAAAAGTCCATCCTCAGCCACCTGTGGATTGGGGGCAAGGAGAAGAAGAATGTCGGATGCACGCGCGGATTTCGAGTCAGCATCTTTGGTCCACTGGACCCGGATGGAGACTTTGCCTGCGGGAGAATCTTGAAGGACAAACTGCGACGATACGATCTGTGGAGTCGGTTGCAATCTGTTCCTTTGTTTGTTAAGGGTACTGCCTGCGATATGTCGCCTACAATCACGGGTGACATTGTCACTTTTCCGTGAATTCGCCTTGATGATGACAGCGGCTTTCTCGTGGCTACTCGCAAGCAGACTCTCCAGCTCAGCTCGAACCCATTGCACATCTATATTGGACAGCTTTTCATGTCCGGGTTGCGGAGTCGTCAACAACTGTAATGCGTCTCGAACCTTGGATTGAAGTAACATCAGAGGCAGAGCGGCGCGTTTAACATCTTCGAAGTTGTCCCAGCTGTCCATGGAAACGTCGCATTGCTCATTCTGCTTTTCAATGGTTATTTTCATAGCTGTAAGCTGTGCCATGAGCGAGTCGATAGCCTCGAGAGACTGGGAAAAGTCAGACGCGGCTTGACCTTTCTCTGACCAAGCAGGAGGTCTGTCGTCAATACCCGAGAGAGGCAGTTTCTGGCTGCCGTCTTTGATGATCGACACAGCATCATGGATGCTATCCAATCGATTGTGAACAGCAAGGTCATTGAAACTAGTCACTGTCAGCTTGGATCAAAGCTTTCCAGATCGATAGAGAACCCTACCTTCCCAATACCTGCAGGTTCATGCTCAATTGCCTCTTGCATCTATCCAGATTCTGAAACGAACGCTCCAACTTCCCTCCAAGCACCAATTTGACCCTTCCGCCCACCATCTTCAGCTTCTGCCTCGTACGACCGGAGTCGACATCGAGGTTCCCACGATGGCCGCGATATTATCATACTCTTTCTCCAGGGATTTGAGCGTCGAGTAGATATGTATAACCGGTGAGGTCTTCTGCAAGCTCATTGAGGGCAATCTGCCCTGGTACTCATCACAGTAGCGATGGACATTCGCGAGTAGGAATTCCACCTCGTGCATCTCCACCTGCAGCTGCTGGATTTCTGCGGGGACATTCTTCACAGCCGCAATGAGCTGGTATGTCTCTTTGCCAATACGACATATTGTGTCGATGAGGCCGATGACGGCGGCGAGGTTTGCTGTGAGCGACAATGGGTCCATGGACTTTTGTGAAGTTGCAGGTTCGTGTTAGGGATGGGTGGCGGGGTAAGTCGCTGAAGATCAACGAGGCTGAGCACAAGCGAGGCTGAGTCGTGTTCGTGGGTATAAATATCATCCACTCTCCCACTTCAGAGAGCGAATACGACTACATTTCATCCCACTGCTTCAATTAGAGTACACGTTGCAATCAAACGCAATGGATACTTCCGTCAAACCCCAAGACTACACCCGCTACTCAGAGGACTTCCTCTCAGCCTGGAACGGCCCCTCTCTCAATGACTCACATCCTCCGCCTCAATACACTCCTCGCGATACCCCTCCGATGCAGGGACGTCAGGCCGCCAAACAAGCCGAATACTATCACACCCGACCGATGAACACGCAGGAGTCAGCGAATCCAACTCGGCAGGATGAGTACCATCACTACCAAACCAATCCCAATTTTTATCACAATCGTAATGCCCCATATGTGGCTCCGGCTGTGGGTCGAAATGCTTCGCCTATAGCGACGCAGAACGAGTACCACTGCTACCAAACCAATCCTAATCTTTATCACAATCGACGTGATAATTTGGATATTAATTCGACAGCCGCTCAAGGCGTACCGATGGCGATGCAAGCGACTATGGCCACTGAGTATAAGCTCGGCCAAGTGGCACAGCAGCAAGACTTTTACTGTCGTCGACAGGAGGAAGCTTCGCGAGGGAGGGGCCAATTTGGTTTCCCAGCTGCTGTATGACAAACTAGAACCTGGCAATTCATAAAACTGACGAGATACCAGGGGCTTTCGCAGCAAGCAGCTACGACTTCGATGCGGGATTTTTATTACCATCGCCGGGCTGATCAGGGGAATTTACGAAAACAATGACGGTACATATGTTGTCTCCATTTACTGCGTCAATCCGATTGATCCGTGTATAAAAAAAACCGGTATTTTGCCATCTTTAATGAGTAATGTCAATATCTATCAGAAGTCTAATGACGGAGATTAAGCGCTGGATCACGCAAGCTGTAACAGACAAGGCAAGCGATCAGGAAAGGCATTGCAGCATCACCCGCAACGAGTTATCAATACAGACCGCTGCCTTGTTCAGCCGCTGCATGATCACCAGCACTTTAAGTCGCTGCGTCTCGCTTCCGACGATCTGCATCACGCCGTCCAGACGGCTGAGCAAGGCGCGAAACTTCCGTAACTGCAGCCGCAGCAACACCCGGATTATATAGACCTGCTCCTCGTACGAGTAGCTAGTCTGAAATTCATCCGAGAAGATGCCAGGAGTACTCGACACCTGGCCGCCGGAAAGCCCCAGTGCAAAAGACTCGAGATCTGACGTGTCGCTCGGGGACTGTTCGCTCTCCGGAGTAGCGATGCCCGGTTCGGCCAAGCGCTGGTGGACAAGGCGGAGTCGGCGCGAAACGCACTCGAACATCTCCACGAGACGCTCGCAGATGATAACCAGTACGGAGTCGACAGTCAGAAGTATTTGGCAGTTGGGGCAGTCGACAGGTTTGGAGCACTGCGCGATGCCCCATTTCAGGAGCTGCACGATCTGGTCCAGGGTGAGAGAGTTAATGCTGAACTCGTCGTCGAGCTGCTGCATGATGCCCACGGTGCTATAGATGCAGAGGCATCCCGGGGTATTCCAGAGGACGGACTCGCCGGTAGGATTAGTTGGGCTTGATGCTAAGGAGTTATTATTGGAAAAATTTGGAATTGCCTCCTGCACAGGTAGATCGGTTGATCTATCAAGCGAGTCGACGCGAAGTAGGTCCAGTTCATCAGACGGAACTTCACAGGTCTTAGTGATTCGATTGCCTTCCAAGGATTGAAGGACTTACCCTGTGGCACATCTTCCACAATCTGAAATGCGCCGCTCGTGCCATCAAGGCACTGTAACCTGGGATCGATTGCCGCCGGAAATGTGTCTAATTGCATGTTACGGCTAAGTGCCTCTAGGTCAACCGTCAATTGTGTCACGTCATTGTAAAAAGTTGCTGTAATCATCAGCTCCTCATCAATTATAGCACTACAAAGTAAGGTAGAATACATACTGTCCTGTAAAGTTTCTCGCACAGCTTCAGACTCCGACGGAGAAACGCTGGGTGTGGGCAGATTGTGGCCGACGTCCTTTTCAGATGGCTCTGGCGATATGACTTCCTCACTACTATCTACTTTCGATAGCGTCTTCGGTGATTCTGTCCTAAAGTTCTTCTTCAAAGCGTGTCTCTGGCGATTTCTCCCATTGCTGGGGGGAAAGACGCAGGTAACCGATCTGGAGACGCATCGATCGCAATCCCCTTCAGAACCGGTGCATCGAAGCTATTATCCGTGTCAGCGGTTAGATCACACATGCTGGATGCGTTGTAGACGGCATACCTTTCGTTTTTGACAGTTGATGCAAGACGGTCGTCGGGAAAGACGCCCGTGACGCGGATCATGGGCTATGTTAGCGCCCATGGCCACCACCTGCTCCATGTCAGGGTGGTTGCTCGAGTGCCGCAACGTGATGAACATGTTGCTGCTTAATCATGAAGGCTTGAGAGAACCGAGATATTGTCTCATCTTTCCAATTGATCAGATGTCGTATATTGTGGATATTTAAGTCGGGTTGCAGCGAGTTGTTGATCCGTCTGATCCATCTGCTCCCGGGCTCGGTGTGAGCACCATCCATCTCCGGACAAGCCAAAGAGCTCAAAATAAGTATTGCTGTGAATTAGAACGGAAGGGTGTTTTTATGGGCAATGGTGAATCATGAAGAAACGGGCAGAGGGAATATTGATACCTCTTAGACGGAGGAGATCTCATTAACAGTGCTTGAAGGGCATCTTGTCGGAGTCTCTCAGTTTGGCCCATTGCGAGTGAACATAAACACCAACCTCATGGATCAGTTTATCCAACTTTATGTGGCATCTGCAAGACTTACGTGCAAGACATAAATAAAAGACGCCAATGACAAGATAAATGACGCTTGGGATATTGGTTGATTTGTCATGAAGCAAGGTTGATGCTCATTCCTTCGACTATGCTATGGTCACTGCTGTTGCAACGATGTCATCTAGAAGCCACCGGCGAAAGCCTTCGGGCGTATTTTGAAATGCGTAGGTTCTACGCTTCGATGTCCATTCGAGCACTGTACTCCGTATCATGGCATCTCTGTCTCTGTGAAAAGACTCTCAATGATGGTCAATAAAGGTGGAGATTCAACCGCCAACTGGTAAACTTGAGCGCCGCTGTAGCCCTAACCCTATCATGCCCCTCTCAAGCAGCTCTCGGAGCTCGATGGTCCTCTGACCTCTGCATGTCCATACTTCCCCGGTCATCATATAATAGCTCACAGAGGCATCTAAGAATCTTGCATTTGGGCCCTCCTTGCAAAGTTGCTGCTGGGGGAATTAGTTCCCCTGGGCAGTGATATCCCATTATAAGTATTTTCAGTCCTTAATGGGGATCTGTTCTAGTATAATAATTTCCCAAGCTCGTAGTGCAACATGGTACTTCATCTGTTGATAATGTAATTGACAACAGCCAGTTCAATCTTGTCAACTTGCTCTTTGAAAGACTTATTATAGTCATAGTTTGTAGAATGGAGCAATGGTTCTGGGCTGTTGCTGGCACAGCTTGCATCATGCCACTCTTGATTATAATTTCCATTGTCAGCATAGGCACATCCATATCTGAGAGTTGTATATCCAACGTACATTGGTCCATCATGATGGCTCAGGCCAAAGTTGACAATACTGCCCGTTGCAGGGATGGGAGGCAATGTATGTAGTGAATAAGCAAGAACAGCCCCTAGCATCTATATACTAGTGAGAGAAGTCTCTGCAAATCTGTACTGCCATCAGCTGCAAGGCTATGGGTTTCATCCCGCTCACAAAGAATCTCATCGATCTGTTCAGCTTGTCCTGATGCATGTAGGATTTCTGCAATCACAGCATGTGTACCTAGAAGAACCGGACTGGGTAGTTCACAGTTGCTATGCTTCTTGAAGGTAACAAGTCGCTCATTATCTTCATTGGGGGAAGGCAGGAAACGGCAAAAGAAAGTCTGGAACCCTGGATATGTCTTAATCCTATAGGTATTCTCTTCACCCTGGTCAAGTAAGCATATTATCCAATAATTCTATGATTTGGTGAAACACATACAGTTGGTTTGAGTGCAAAGTTAAAACTGCCAAAGTCTGAGTGAATTAAAGAGAAAACCGTCATGGCATTTTTTGGATCTTTAATATTATCTGGTCTGATAATGTCCTTGAGACTGGGAAACAAGAGATAGAGAGTTTCCCAAAACAGGGCAATGTTTCTTTCCTAAAGCACCTTACTTATTTAGAAAGTCCTCAACCGTAGAGAGGTACTGGGGATAGAAACTAACCTGGTCATCATTTCCCTTGCCTAGAGAAGATGGGATAATGTGGGCTAGCCGAGTTCTTGCGATTGTATTTTTGCCTAGTCTATCTGGGGGGTATTTCTGCTGGGCTTTGGGATCCCACAGGCCAGTCATAACACAGTGATAGTCGTCCCGTTCAAGGCACATTGTCTTCAGACTTTTTAGTTCTTTTTCTGAGCTTGACTGCGAAGCTGCCATATCATCTCTTAAGATGTCGAATTCTGATGGTGATGGGGTCACTGGCGGTGTCTTTCCACCTTGGGCTTTCACTGTTAGATAGAAAGAAATATTAGCTGCGATATGGTAAGGTAGGCATGAGAAAAGGAACATTGTATAGTACATACTTGGAATCAGAATTGCCATCCGTAAATACTCTGCAAGTTCATAGAGTGAGTTGTGATCCTCACATGTAGCAATAAACTTAGTGATGATATGTTTGCCATCAAAGGGCAAATTCTCAATGAAAGAGTCCAGAATTTTGGCTGTATCATCTGATGAAGATTGAGGTGTATATCTTGACAACTTCTGTTTAGATATGGTTTCATCGGCATGGAGTTCTTCCAGGTCTGGTGGTACTAAAGATAAGGAGGCACACAAAGCACAAAGAGATTCAAGGGAGCTTTCCATTTCAAATAGTCAGTAGAATGAAGTGATAGCACTGAATAGTAAACCCAAACTTAGAGTAGGAGGAAGGGGAGGTAATGGTATAAGAGATATTTGAAGATAATATGTATACGTCAGGCAGTAAGAGCAATGAAAGTAGTGAAGGAGAGGAGATAGAGGAAGGGAAGTGAATAGGGTTTCTATATCCTAGTAATATAGCAGGTAGATAGGGTAGAGGTGAATAGTGAAAGACATGTATAAGGCGCCTAAGTGTGATGATACTAGTACTGTGTAAATAGCTTATAAGTGTAGAAGTCTGCTAAATGTGTTGCAGAGGAGTAAAACTTACTTATAGGGATGGGACTAGATGGGTGGAAACTAACCACTATTTATAAGGTAGGTAGGTAGATCGCATCATTCACACATAGTGTTGAACACATTATTCCACTACTATTTCTACTATGCTAGGAATGGTTGTCTAAATGCTTGTTTTATGGTTGACACGAAGTCTATTTCATATGATGAGGAACCCTTTTTGGAGATCAATGCTGATAAAAAAGAATCCAAGCTTAAATGGACCTTCAAGGTGAGAATATGAGTTTAGTATACTTATTTCATTGACAGATTTGCAACATGTTTAGCTGCTTGAGAATAAATGCACCCTATTTCCATTTATAAAGTAGTTCTGTCTGCTGGAATTGAAACATCATACCTAATGGGCCAGTTGGCTATATCTGGAGTAAGAGTAATTGATGGCAAGATGGATCTAGTTGTTAATCATGCTGTGAGTGGACTCTTCCTAGATATAAAAGCATGCACTGTCGTGGTGCAGTACAGATCTGGGAAGAGATGAAGGACTAGGATATTCTAGCTCCATCTTGACCTACTTCTTTAATGCTGGCCAGGCCTGATTTCCTTCCTCTTGAGTAAGCATGAGATTTCACAAAAGACTCATGACTTCTTGAAGAGAAAAGGAGAAAGGTGGGCCAGGCATACAAGGCTCAGAAGGATTTGTTTTATACACAAATCGCCTGGCTGCAAGAGCTATATAGATCTTGCCACATCAGATAACAACGATCACCAATCAGTTGCCTGGTTGCTCGCGAAGAATACCAGATCCAGTATGTTCAATGGTGATAAAGGGGCTGCATGGCAGGTGGAATATTTCTTAGGAACACCGGTCTCACGATGTCATGGACCCGTCTGTCGTGGGGGCTGTTCATAATTCCGGCTCCCCAGGTACTACCGCACTAGGGAAAGCAGAGTCCTCTGTCCTGCAATTTCTGCAGCCTAGGCATTGCCTTCGTTTTCCCTCGTCTGTAGTCTCCAGAGTCGTCTTCTGTCCGCAGCTGAAGCGTTCATCTCTTGCTGTCTAAGAGGAAGTTATCCCTAGTCCATGCATACGGCCTATCAATGTGTTCCACTGGGCGGTCACAGCCCCGTCATTTTTTTCCAGGCTTTAATTAGTGTTGAGTGCCAGACGGACCTTGGCGTAGTTGGCACTGGCGATCAGGAGAGTTCACAATCTCTAGTCTGTGAACAAAGGATCAACATCAGGGGAGGAATATCATATAGTACATATAGGAGGCCCTGGATATGGGGAGTTTTGCCACTGTTTAGAATTAGATTAATGAAAGAAGTGGGCTAAGAATGGTTGGGCTTGTATGCACCTGTTTTAGGGAGCAAGTCACCACCCCTATCCGAAAGATGAGCATGAGGTCATCTGAACAAAACATGTCTTAGAGCCCAGGTTCGCTTAATGAGCCTATGCTATGAGCTTGGACTTCTTGGATCCTCCACTTTTGTCGTCGGATCCGACGTCTAAAGGGGCCGTTATCCGGGCACGATTCCATGTGGACCATTCTCGGCCCAACGATGGATTCACTAATATAGCTTTGGTGATGTTAGTTTAACGGGTGAAATAAGTCCATTGCAAATTTGATTTGTTGTCTGGCTCATCCCAGTTCGACTGAATGTTAGTACTACTGACGTTAATCTTGTCGATTTGTGTCGGTTCCAAGACTTCGGCTGCTTCGCGATGTGGACTTGTCTGAGACAATGTCCCAGGAATAATAGGGCACGGGTAGATGCATATTCAACAAAATTGTGAAAGCTCTCTGTATGCACTATGCGGCATTGCAGATCGCGTGGACAGATGGCCGGAAGACGCCCGTGAAGATAACCTAAATTGACCATCCGCGCCCCCGTTAATTAAACTTTCGACATTGGGCAGACTGCTGACGATTGACCCCTTGCGGTACGGAGTAGCTCCAACGCTGATCAATCCTGGGCCAAATTAGCCAGTGTGATAACTCTCCTCTGTGGTCAGTCATCACTGATCAGAAATTTACTGTCCGGTTTATCTGAATCTGGTTATGATCAAACCCTCGCTGCTGCAGGGACGCACTAACTTTTGACACACGAGTGGATACGAGATTGACCTCTATGCCGTATCTGACGATTCATGGTAGCGATATCGTATTCATTGATTCATCGGTTCATCTCTGGACAGATTCTCGAACGGA